ATGTTGTGTATGTTTGTTTTGATTGTTTTTTGTTTGTGTTGTTCCCCCACCCCAAGGAAAGAGAATGAACTTCAGGGAAAGAGCACAGCATGGTCAATGGCTGAGATGGGTCCATGTGTAGCAAGTTCTAGGATCCTGAATCGGACAGTTTGGCTGAAGTGTATCAATGGTGAAAACAGTGGAAAGAGGTTGGAATGAGATTTTGAGGTATGAAGGAAAAGCTGAAAAGGCACGGTGAAGTGTCTGTACCCTTTAAGGGCGACTCTGGAGACAGGCAGGCATTGCTTTTCAGATTTGCCCCTGTTAAAGAAAAGGCAGGAGCTAGGATTCCCCTCACTAGGCCTTCGCAGTTGGCCTGCAGAGCACAAACCCGCAATTTTAGGCAAAGCAAACTGCTGCATTTCCCTGCATTTTGCCTGTTCAATCTCTTTGACGGCTGCCCTGTCTCATCTTAAGCCAAAAACAAAAAGATGGCCTGGGCTCCCTTCTGAGTTAAGCAGAAGACTTTTGCATTGCAAAAGTATACATACACCACACACACCAATGCTAGTTCGGTACATCCATGACTGGCAGGGATGGGGGTTGGGCCTTTCCCGCCATTCGTTCTAATTGGTCCTCACAATATGTGCTAACTCAAAAGCCAGGAGCAGAGGAGCCCTGACCCACTAGTGGCAGCCAGAAAGTATGACTGGATGGGAAAAAAGTGGTTCCCATCCCGATGGCCTTACTATTCATTGTAACCAACCCTACAGAAAGGACATTTTCAAACATAGCCCAAAGTAGAGAAATGATATCATGATCCCTGAATCCCCTCTACCTAACTAGCTCCACATATCTCCTCCAAGCCGACCTGGCTTCGTTAAACCCTCTCCCACCACCCATTTTAAAACAGGGTGTGGGCGGCGTGGCGGAGGAGGCACCCGGGGAGAGTGGGTTCCAAGCTGCATCACTGGCGGCTGGAAAGACGAGGAATGATGAGGGCCACGGTAGGGCGGGGAGTTGGGCTCACCCCTCGTGGGCCACCCCACCCCCCGCGTGCTCGCGCAGGGCAGGGGCGGGACCTGAGGGCGGGGCCCCAGAAGGGGGGGCGCTACCCTAGTGACTCAAGGCGCGTGCGGCTGGGCGCAGAACGCCAGTCTCTCCTTGCAGCGCCTTGTGTTACCGCTCCGCTGCAGAGGTCGGTGCCTGCTGCTGCCTTCGCGCCACCGCCACCGCCGCCGCCGCCGCCGCCACCACCATGCCCAACTTCGCCGGTACCTGGAAGATGCGCAGCAGCGAGAATTTCGACGAGCTCCTCAAGGCGCTGGGTAAGCTGGTGCGGAGGGCGTGCCCGGTCTGCCAGAAGCAGCTGTGAGGCTCCCCTGTCCCAGAGAGGGTGGCCCGGGGAGGTTCAGGCAGGAGGGAGTCTAAGGAGTGATAAATGGGTTTCCTGTGAGTCCCCCGGATCGCGGAGGAGAGTCGGCTCCGGAACCAACCGATTCAACTTATGTTTGCTAGACATTTGGCGCCTTTCTCGACGGTTCCATCTTTATCTCGACCTAGACCACAGTGAGGAGTAGGAGCTTTAAAACTGTTCGAGACCAAATCTTGCCATGAAAGCACTGGGTAGCTCAGGAAAGCCACTTGCCATCTCTCTGAGCCTCAGTGTCTGTTCTCTGAAAGCCTAGGCGAGGTCGGAGAGAACTAATTTAAGACCCCTGTCTAAAGTCAGAGGATTTGGGAAGTGTCAAAGAGGTCTGGGAGTAAGGACCCGAGCCCCGAGCCCGTGCTTCCTTGCGCAGGTGTGAACGCCATGCTGAGGAAGGTGGCAGTGGCGGCCGCGTCCAAGCCTCACGTGGAGATCCGCCAGGATGGGGATCAGTTCTACATCAAGACATCCACCACCGTGCGCACCACGGAGATCAACTTCAAGGTCGGAGAGGGCTTCGAGGAGGAGACAGTGGACGGACGCAAGTGCAGGGTGAGGCTATACAGACCGCACCTCCTTCCCGGGTACCTCTTTCAACCCTTGGCCCGCTACACCGGGCGCACTTTCTTTGCAGGGTGTGTCACGAGAGGTTTGTGTGACCTGCTGATCCTGAGCTCAGGAGAAAGCCCTACTCCGTTTCCTATGCCACCCCCCGGGCGCAAATAGGCGCGCTTTTGCTCTGGGTGGCTGTGTGGTCTTGCCTGTGGTTAGTGTCTCGTTAGCCGAGCCTGCAGCGCTGACTCTGGCGGCGTGGGTAGCGGTTCCTGGGACTGTTGCTGCCTCTTGTGCGCAACTGCCGAGTTACCTGTCGTAGGTGAGGTGGCTGATCTAGGGTCCCACCCCCTGGGTCCCTGGACCGTGGGAGGACGCTTTGGATCCAGTTGCAAAGTCCGGATCGCCTGCCATCCCTTCCTGCCCTTCCTTGTTTAACCGAGGTATTGAAGGGAATGGCGAAATTCTTCCGAAGTAAAAGCAACACAGGTTCTAGCTGACAAAATGTACTAAATGTCCTTTCTAAATCCTCAAGGTCGAGAGGCAGAAAGAGGTGGGTAGGGGTAGAGAGGAAGAGAGGAAGAGAGGGAGGGAGGGGGACGGGAAGAGATTGAGATTGATTTACAAGAAAACAGGGCTGGCTATGTAGCCCCGGTTAGGCTAGCTTGGAACTCTGGTGTAGACCTGGGGACCTCGAACTCAGGATTCTCCAGCCTCACCCCCTGGAGTGCTGGGATTACAGGTGTCCACCACTATATCCAACAAGCAAGAGAGGTTTTTTTATTATTTTTTTTTTATTTCTGAAACATGAGCCAAAGGACGAGAGAGTGATTTGGAGCAAATGACTTCATGTTGCAGTATTTCTTTGCAAAATTTGCACTGATTGTAAAGCCAGCCTTGGTATCTCATTTACAAAGGATGTCCCCCTTTCTCCATTGTGAGTTTTGTGATTGTTGTTTTGTGTATTTTGTTTTCTTGTTTGTTTGAGAAAGGATCTCACGCTATAGCCCAAGCTGGATCCAACTTGCATCAATCCTGTTTCTGCCAAGTGCTAGGATCACAAAGTGAACCACCATATCCAGTTTTTCCAATGTTCTAAAAAATATATTTGCAAATGAGGCCAAGTATTGTGGCCCAATCCCTTAAACCCAGTACTCCAAAGGCAGAGACAAGCAGATCTCTTGTGAGCCCAAGGCTAGGCAGGCCTTCATAGTGAGAAAAATTGTCTTTGTATTGTAGCAACATTCTAAAGAATTTTACCTCAGGGATTTGTTGCTCCCACTGCCCTACAGTGCCTCCATTGTTTTGTTTTATTTTGTTTTTGTTCTTTTGAGGCAGGCTCAAGCACTGTCATGCAATGTCCCTATGTGTTTTTGAGACAGGGTCTCCACTGTCTTTCAATGTGCCCATGTTTTTTTGTTTTTGTTTTGGCACAATGGGAAATGATTTCTTTCCTCTTTCCTGAGCATATACCTGTCCACTTGTGACTCTGGTCACCATGCTTGGAAGGACAGAGAGACATAGCCCCCAGTAGCAGGCTCACTCAGGAGACAGTCTTTGCCCATCAGAGTTGATCTCTGCTTTGAAGCTAGTGTGACCTAAGGTTCAAGATACCACATTGTTTGGGAAGAAAGAAAAAAAGGATACGCTTGGCTGGGAATACATACAGCCATGGTGCAGCATGTGCCTAGAATGTGGTATGCCCTGGGTTCAATCCTCAGGTTCATAGACTGCAAAGAGTGGAGGAGGAATGGGTGTTTAGTGGAGAAGTTGGCTTGGCAATAAGTAAAGCTCAATTTGGAGACATCTAACTCTGACCACTGCCAGAGAGGGCAATTCTGATTTAAGAACAACAAAAGACTCATGTAACACCCTGGAGAGAACAAGGCTTTGAATTCCCTGTCCCTTCCCCCATCCTTTGCCTAATGAAGGAGTCCCATGTGTTAGTTAAAAAGTGATTATGTGTGCATTCAGCACCACCCAGCCCAGCTGTACCCCACTTTGCTGTATATAGAGACGAGGGGAACTACAGGGACTCCCCCCCTTTTGCGGGTCCACCTCCACCCCCATGAAGAGCCTTCAAATTGGCTCGAATTTTTAAAATGTTTCTAGAAGGATGTAACCTGGAAAGTGGAAGCCTTTTTATCCTCAGAGACAGACACAGGTTTATTAGAGCAGGCTGTCTACTGTGTCTGATGAGGAATGCAGAGAAAGGAGGGTGTTAGTCCAGAACCTGGGCACGGACCTACCTTCTCATCTGCCACCAGTGTAGCTACAAACATGAGGTCTCAATGGTTGTCACGTTTTGTGACCCTGACATGAAGGTACGTTAAAGCCCAAATTGTTTGGAGAGGTTCACTGTGTTGATGTAAGTGAATCACCGTGTGTTCTGAATTTTATTCCTAGAGATGCAAAGCATGTCCAAGGCTTTGCTGCTCCCATGAGTCCTTGTATGTGTGATATAAGGTATATTTATACTCCATAAAATCCATGACCAGCACTTCGTGTGGCTTAGCAGAGAAGATGCTGTGCCCCGCTGACAAGGGCCATGTGTTACCTTCCTGCCTGGCAATTATTCTCCGGTGTTCTTTGTGTTCTCTTCGTCCCGCTGCCCAGACTGTAATTAATATCACTAATGGTTTTCCTGCCTGCAGAGTCTGCCCACTTGGGAGAATGAGAACAAGATTCACTGCACACAAACTCTTCTTGAGGGGGATGGCCCCAAAACCTACTGGACCCGAGAGCTGGCCAACGACGAGCTGATCCTGGTAAGGGCCCTTTGACTCTGAGACAACTACAGGGTTCCCCAGGTGACCCCCCAGAGGTGGGCCATACAAGTGTGCTGTCTTCATGCTCAAGTTTTGAGAAAGACATTTGCCACAGGTTAAAATTTGAGCAGAAAGCTTGGGCTGACATGGTTGGCAGGAGAGAGGGGGGTGGCTGAGAGGCCAGGGTCATAACTGAGACTGGCTGGAGTGCCAGACCTTTGTCCAAACTGTTCTATGCCTGTCTCAGTGGTAGGTGATACCCAGTCTCCTCTGGCTTGGCTGGGCATGCTTGGCCTCTGTGGGGTCCCTCAGCTTATACACATGAGATTACCGCCCCGCCCCATGACCCATTTTGCTAGTAGAGAAAAGTTTCACCAATTTTATTACATCAGCATTCAAAGCCATGGAGAATACTTTTACTCCAGACTTACAAGCTCCAATGGCCCCCAGGAGCCAGGCAAGGAATGCTAGTTTGGGAAATGTCTAAATGCACTGGTGTGGAAAGGTGGACTCTTTAGGGCTAGAGGAGGTGGACACTGTTTAAAAGTATGCTGATGGGAACCTTTTTGTGTTTGTTTTTGGTATTTTTGTTTTGTTTTGTTATTTTTGAGACAAGGTTTCTCTGTGTAGCTCTGGCTGTCCTGGAACTCACTCTGTAGACCAGGCTGGTCTTAACAAACTCGGAGATCTGCCTGCCTCTGCCTCTTGAGCACTGGGATCAAAGGTGTGAGCCATCACCCCATGCATTTAAACATTTTAAATATCCACAGCCAAGCACAACTTACCTGGTGAGGTCAAGTTTATATCTAACCCACTCTTCAATGTGACATTCTGAAGATTGAGTCAGGAGGACCATGAGTTCCAGGTCAATTGGAGCTATAGAACAAGATCCTATCTCTAGAAGAAAAACAAATGGTTCAACTTATTCACACCTTCCCCAGTTTTATGCAGAGTAAAAGGGGGAGGGCTGAGGCCAGACAACTCCCACTTACTTTTCCTCCGTGTTTCAGAACTAACTGATGTCTCCCACTCCAGGCTAGAAAAAGGAAAAGCCCTTGTGGGTGACTTTATATTCTTTGTTTTCCATTAGGCATTCTGTTGACATCACCGCTGTTAGAATTCCTGGCCTATTACCTAGACACTGAAGCCTGAAAAGTTTGCTGGGGAAAGATGCCCCTTTCCCAGTCCCAAGCTCCATTCTCCGGCTGTAAAATGAGACTGAGCTGTGGCCCTTGAGATTCCTTTCAGCCCTAAAATTACATGTTTAGCCTGCAAGAAGACCCTAAATTGAGCTGCCTGTTACTTTGGGACTGTTTGATCTCTCCCTCTTCCTCTCCTCTTGGCCTTTGCTAGGATGATTGAACTAGCTCTTCTCCTTTCATGGACAAAGGGCTGGTTTAATTTGCAACCTGGCTAATGTTTCCAGCCGAGGGCTACTTCATGGACTCAGAGAGCAGTCTGAGGCTGGGACTTGGAAATCTAGGGAAACAGGCACATGTAGTTTATAAGGACCAGAGGCAGCAAGGAGGGATGATGTTAGTTCTTGAATCTAGCTGAGGATTAAGTAGGATTGATCAGTTTACATAAAAAAAAAAAACTGGTACTTTGGTAACCTCTATAATACTGAGCAGCCGGAGTCACAGGCTAAATGATGGTGAAGGATTCCACCACATTTTGTCCCTTACTGCCCCCACACTGCAGTTCCCCCCAGGCATCCTTCCCTGGCTCAGAAAACATATATATAAGCCTCAAAGGGAGCATTAATTCTTGGCATTTGGGATGTGAAATGTGGGCTTTTTGTTTCAAGGGTTATTATCGTTAATAAATCTAAAACGTTGGGAGAGGTAATCTTCATGTAACGAGAGGTAAGTAACTTTAGTTTGGATGAAATAAGTGTCCCCAGAGCCAACAGTAAATTGCCATGGGCTGTAAATTGTCTTCCTTTGAAAACTGAGTATGCTCCCCCACACTGCTCTGGAATATTCTATAGAGTTTCTTTCTGGAACCTCTAAGCATAAATGGATGCAGTGGGAGGCTGGAAAGGGTTTTTCAATTGGAGTTAGAAATGTGAGGATTTCCTCCCATCTCATGAACCTGGTTTTTTTTTTTTTTTTTTTTTTTTTGCCTGGGTGAGTTCCAAAGACTTATGTGGCTGTGGAGCCAAAGAAATTCTGGGAAATCAGCATAGTTCTTGGGGCGCAACATCTAGCAAGTAGATTTATGATGGGAACTGTACCCCAGCCCAATCCCCGACATGTGCCCAGGACATAGACTCATCTACATTCCTCACTAATGGGAAGGCACAAAGCCCTTAAGTTGCCCGTCTTGTCAGGACCTCCTTAATACTCACTATATGAAAGGATATTTCTTGGAAGCAGGCGATGCCTTAGTGAATATCCCAAGAGCATCTGGTCACTAAGGGTTCCAAGGGTAAGAATATGAAATACATCCTGTTCTCTTATGTTGATTAAAATCAAACAATGGGGCTTGTAGAGCATTTGCCTAGCATGGGTAAGACCCTGTAATCTATCCCCAAGATGACAAGATAAACAGATTTTAAATAAGAGTCTAAAGACCTTGAGGTAATTAAATTCATAGCACAATAGTTTTAGCTCCTCTTAAATTGCCAGTCATTTGGGGAACCCAAAAGGTAAGGGCCCTGCAACAAATAAACATATATATATATATATATATATATATATATATATATATATACAATTTTTATTTTATGTGCATGGGTGTTTTGCCTGCATGTATTTTTTGTGTACCACATGTGTGATGGTGCCCGTGAAGGCCAGAGGAAGCCATCAGATCTCCTGGAAGTAGTGTTACAGACTCTTGTGAGCTGCCACATGGGTGCTGAGAATCAAACCCTGGTCTGAAGCAGCAGCCAGTGCTCCTAACTGCTGAGCCATGTTTCCAACCCTTTCTGTCCTTGATTTTTGCACATACACTTTGCTTTCTCTGTTCTGACTGTGAGAACCTCAGGAGAGCAAGCCTGTGAGTAATTGACAGTTTGTGGGGATTGGAGACAGCTTACTTATATAGGTGCTACCATTTCAGGGACCAGAAGAAACATGTCTCTTCCCACCTGTGGAAGGATCTGCATGCTCTCTTTAGCCAACAAAGAGTCATAGAGTCTTAGCTGGAAAGAACCTTCAGACCCCATCTTGTTTAAAGTCATCCTTCCAGGGCTGGAGAGATGGCTCAGTGGTTAAGAGCACTGGCTGTTCTTCCACAGAACTCTGGTTCAATTCCCAGCACCCACATGGCAGCTCACAACTGTCTGTAACTCCAGTTCCAGAATACCCAATTTAAAGTCACCCTTCTCCTCAGCACCACCCCTTGCCCATCCTGATCAGGCCAAGAGAGGGACAGAGCCTTGCCCAGAGATGGGTTGCAGAGCTAAATCAGAAGGCCAATGCTGTGTTCTTGCATCTGATACTCATGTTTTAGTTTAGAGGTGATGTATCATAGCTATACTGCCACAGCCATAGGGAATCTGTTACAGGACCCCTGTAGACACCAAGATTTTTAAATGCTCAAGTTCCTTATATAAAGTGGTGTAGCATTTGGCCCACACACAGCCTCCTGCATCATTCCTAGTTTGCAATCATTCCATCCTTATAACATCCAATACTACATGAATGCCATGCAAATGTGTCATAATATATTGTCTAGGGAATAATAGCATGTAAAAAAGTTATGCATGTTTAGGATATATGCAAATTTTAAATGAGTATTCTTATTCTGTGCTTGTTTGGCTGTGAAGGTGAAAACCCATATATATATATACAGAAGACGGGTTGTCCTTACATAAGGCTGTTGTTTCCTGAGGTCAAAGGCTGCGTCCCAGACGGCAGTTTTACCTTGTCTCCAAGCCACAGTTCCAGCAAGCATTTGAAAGGACACAGAAGCCCTTCAGAAATACCTGATATGACATTCATCTCCTTTCAGTCCAATTTCAAAACTAAAGCCAGGAAATGTGCATATCTTATGCAAGGATTAACAGGTTCTGGAAGCAAAGGAGACTTGCATATAGTGTAGTTCTCTGCCCTATTTCTCTGCCCTCTTTGCTGAGTGGGAGCTTGCTTAGGGGAGGAGCACTTAGCTTGCACACATGGCTCAGGAATCTTGGAAGCCTGATATGAAGTGTTGTAAACGGGGCAGTCCATCGTCTCGGTGATGTGCTTTACACATTTTCGCCCAGGCATCTGTACTGATTGGTTTTCCTTTTCTTCTCCGGGCAGACGTTTGGCGCCGATGATGTGGTGTGCACAAGAATTTATGTCCGGGAGTAAAGGCTTGTTCCTGCTTTCATGACAGGATGCAAGTCCCCCTGAGGAGTGTGTCATCAGCCTGCACAGCCAGTGGGTCTTTCCTCCTACACTCCCCTCCCCGTAAACATTAGGCAACCCCATTTTCCCTATGACAGTGCCCTCCCCTCAGGCCCCTGCTACCTTTGTGCATCCCTGGTTTGGCTTTTGCATGGTTGTACTGGTCATTAAACTGGTTGGACGTATCTCCAGGCTCTTTCCTTTGAGGGGGTGCTGCTTCTGTTTTGGCCTGTGTCGTGTTTCCACCCTGGCCTGCTGGCCTAGCTTGAGTGCATTGAGCATCCATCAGTGGGCACAAGCTGAATTATTCATGAATGGTGGTTCCTGGTGAGAAAACATGCCCAACCCAAGGTACATAAGGAAGAGACTGCTTACTTGGGCATTTATAGGGCCAGGATGAGTAGAACGGGCATCCCTGGTTCGGAAGGAAGACGAGGCTCTTAGAGACTAACAACGGAGGGAGACTCACCACTCCAAAGTCTCAAGTTAGAGAGAAGGAGAGGTCAACACATCTAAGAGAGGTGCAGCCTGGGGGAGGGATTCTGCAGGAGCAGTGGGGTTACAGAGAACAGGGCTACTGTCACAAAAAACGTGAACAAAAGCTAGGCGGAGTGATGGCACATACCTATACTTTCAGGATTCTGAGAGCAGACGCAGGAGAATCTCTGTGAGTTTGAGAACAGTTTGGTCTGCGGTGTAGTTCCAGGACAGCCAGGATTACACAGACAGACTGTGGGACAGTAGAAGACTTGACTTTGAATGTGGAGTAAGAACCCTGATCTCTCTTTGCCTGGATCAGTGATCAGAGCCAGGGACAGGATCCTATTTAGAGATACTCATTCCCAGGCCACAGCCAAGCAGACATGGAGCTCAACAGGCAAATGCAGACAATAACTTGCACACTTGCCCGTGTTTACATTTGAAAATCAGTAAATTTCACCTTAAAAATCTGGACTTGGGGACTGGATAAGTAGCTCAGTCGGTAGAGTGCTTGCCTAGCATGTGTGAAGCCCTGGGTTTGATGCCCAGTGCAATAATAAACTGGGAACAATGGGAAATGCCTGCAGTACCAGTACTGAGAAGGTGGTACAAGAAGATCAAAATTTAAAGGTCATCCTCGGCTACACAGCAGGTTTGGAGTCCAGCCTGGGGTAGATATATAAGACAGTCTTTTAAAAAAGATGACAGAAAAAAGGAATCTGAGTTTCTGTTTTCTTAAGAGAGGAGACTGGGAAAACCTGGCAACCCTGGATCTACATCCTTACAGGACAGTGCCTGGCTCAGCAGCCTCCTTGCTTGTACCTTCTGCCTCCCCCAGACCCCATCCCTGTCCCTATGCTCATTTACCTGGCATGCTTCTCTTCCCAAGGGCTCTCAGCAAGGCTGGGTCAGAGGGTTGGGACCAGGAGACCCTCAGGAGTTCACATTGTGCTGGGGCAGACGTCTAAGGCCCAGGGGGACTATCCTAGTGTGAATGGGGATGCATTTACAGGAACCCTCACACCTCCCCAGCTCAGAGCCCTACTTTGTCCTATGCTTCTCAAAATCCTGAGCCCACTCTGGTCTCTCCTGTAATGCCATCCATGGCTTTCCCTAAAACACCGTTCCGTACAGCCTCGGTGTTATGTCTCAGTGCTGTGTCTCAGTTTTGTGTCAGGCGGGGCTGGGTTCTGGGTCAGGGTCAGGAGGAAGCATGACACTGGGCTATATTTTGTCTCTGGGGACCTGACGTGTCTATGCTTGTGCCCAGAACCTTTGAAAGTCCCCAATACAAACAACTTCCCTTCCTGCTGTCCTCCAGTACACCTGAGATCAGAGTGTACAGGCAAGATGCCATCACCTCTACTCTCCTGTCTTCTCTGGCTCTGTCCAAGCCCATACTCAGTGCCCTCAAGCATGGAGTAGAGCACTGAGGGGCTGCTCAGGGACTTCTTAGGGGAATGGTAAGGAGACCCTAAAAAATGGAGAGGTCCCCAGATTGATATGCAATGGATAGGAAACATAGTCTCTTGAGTGGGGATGAGTTGGCCACACAAGAGACAATGAGGCTTGTGTGCTTGGATACTTTGAGGATTCCACCTACTGGGTACTAGCTGTTCATGGCCAACATGGAGGGGCAGAGCAAGGTCTCAGACACCGGTCTCTTCCTTTCCTGATTCCCACTTCTGCACAGTCTTCTATACATCTGAATCTGCTCCATAAGGACTGGACTGGCTGCAGAAAGGTTGGAGAGGCCCACCTCACTGTGGGAATCAGGTTGCTTTCATCATGGTCTTTTACAAATGTAACCTGTCACATGGAGCACATGCTTCCTTCAGATTAACTTCACGGGGAATGAAGAATGAAGCAGGGTGAAGGAGGTTGTAGCCCTCACTGGCTCTACAGCCAGCAGGCATGGGTAGGGACATTTGAATGACAAGATGAGGTAATAGCACCAGTAGATTATACAGAGCACCTGCTGTAGACTGGGTCTCTTGAATAGTATTGGTTTTACAATATAATTGGTTTTACATTTGCCAGATAAAGCTACAATGTTTCTCATTCCCTTATGAAACATCTCTCATTTGTCCTATGGGGTGTGGGCCCAGGGATGTCATATTTCCCAGTCTCCTCTCTTAAGGAAACAGAAACCCAGATTTCTTTTTTGTTTTGTTTCGATTTGTTTTTTCGAGACAGGGTTTCTCTGTGGCTTTGGAGGCTGTCCTGGAACTAGATCTTGTAGGCTGGATTTCTTTTTCTTTTCTATTCTTTTCTTTTTTGAGACTGTGACAGATGGTATAAATGCACTTCATATGATAAGTAATATTTATGTGTATTTTCTATTGCTATGATAAAACACGATGACCAAGGCAACTTATAAAGAAAGCATTTAATTTGGCTTATGTTTCCAGAGGGTTAGAGTTCATGATGGTAGAGCAAAGACATGATGGCAGGAACAGCTGAGAGCTCACCTCTCAAAGGGCAAACAGGAGGCAGAGAGGCAGACAGGGAATGGCATAAGTCTTTTGAAATTTCAAAACCCACCCTCAATGATGCTTCTCTGTTTCAGGATATTTGATGGCACTTTGAAACTCCAAGACAGTGTTAATAAAATTAACCATGGATCAGGGGCAGGGCCAGTGACTAGTTGACAGGAATTAGCCATAGAGAGGATAAGGAGACACACAGGAAGGAGTAGGGAGGGACTTAGAGAGTCTCAGTCTGTTTGGTTTGGGAAAAGTGGAAAGACACTCTCTTGCTGGGTCTCCAGCCAAAAAGGAAGGTCATCCAGTTGCTTCTCCACTTCTCTGATCTAGCAAGTTTTCACCTCATCATCTGACTCCCAAGTCTTCATTGGTAAACAGAGCAATCGAGATTTAGTTAAAACCTACATTTGGAGGCCTCAGTCAAGCTAGTGCCTACAGGACTGGAAATCCTGCTAGGTCACAGTCTGAATCAGTCTGAGTGGCAGGGTGCTAACTGCAGGGCACAGGGTGCAGATGATAGTTAGAATATCTATAGATTCAGGTGCACTCAATAAGCTGACAGAAAAAGGACACACCTCCTAATCCTTCCTAAATAGTTCCACCAACTGAAGAAGAAATATTCAAACATACAAGTCTATGGCAGCCATTCTCATTCAAACCATTACAAGACACAAGGTTAAATCTTATTATTGTTGGGGGGGAACATGAGTGCCAATGTGGAGGTCTAAGGACAACTTTCAGAAGTTGGTTCTCTCCTTCCACCCTTACAGGGTTCCATGGATTAAACACAGATCACCAGGCTTGCGAAGCAAGCACCATCACCCACTGAGCCCATCCACAAGATATTTTAATCTAAATAAAAATATCACTTGTGAGAATAATCTCACTAAACGTGTCATTCTCAGCTCACTCCAAACTTGCCTCTCTCTTGCTCAGCAATCTCCAGGGTCTATAGCAGGAAGGTCAGACTCTGGTGTGGCACCCAAAGCCCTCCATGATTTGGCTTCACCAGATAAAGTAGAGGAACAGGTCTATCAGATTTGACTTCAAATTCCGGGTACACTTTCAATTGACAAGTGCTAAAAACCCAGCCTCAGCCAATTCCAGCAAAAAGAAACCCTACTATGTCATGCTCTGTTATGACTTGGATGAACAAGTGAAAGGAGCAGCTCACAAAGGCCCAGTATTATAGGATTCCATTTAAATTGAAATGTCTTGCCATGGAAGTACATGGTGGTTGCCTAAGACTGGAGCTGTTTGGCAGAAAAGGGGAGAAACAGGTCTAGTTTCTTCTTGGGATGATAAACATGTTTTAAAACCAATGTAGTAATGGTTGCATAAGTCTATACACCAAAAACCACTGAATTGCACACTTTAAATGAGTAATTGATCTATGACCATACCACCCTGAACAACCCTGATCTGAATGAGTGATTCCACACTATGTGAATTATAGTCCATAAAGTTGTTGGGTTTTTCTAAAGGAATGTGTGAATTTCTCATCTTATGAACAATACAGAAACTCTCTGCAAAGAAGGAAGAGCCATAAGAATGGGACTTTTAAAAAGCCAAACTCACAGTCCCCTGAGAATCCTCTGTCAAGCCACATTATCCACGTGCTTGACTTGTTTATGCAACTGGCTTCGGTCATGTGGCCACCCAGGAGCCAGTTACAACAAATGAATAAATAGGGTCCAGCAGTTGATGAGATAATAATCGCATGGCCTTACCTCTAACTGGATTAGAGTCTGTTAAGCAGGTAAGGATGGAGTGGGAAGGGAAGTGAGTGGGTATGAACTGTGGTTGGCACCACTACGTTGGCTAAAAATCCCTGGGTAAATTATTTAACCACTTTGAGTCTTGACTTTTTGCTTTATGTAAAAGAACAATCATAGGACTAGAGAAATGGCTCAGCAGTTCAGAGCACTGGCTGCTCTTGTAGCGGATCCAAGTTCAGGTCCAAGCATGCACGTAGCAGCTCAAATAGTCTGTAACTTCAGTTCCAGGGAATTCAAGGCTCTTTCCTGGCTTCCGTGGGCACCAAGTATGCTTGTCATACATA